TTTTTTTTGCGGTACGCGGACCTCTCACTGTTGTGGCCTCTCCCGTTGCGGAGCACGGGCTCTGGATGCACAGGCTCAGCGGCCATGGCTTACGGGCCCAGCTGCTCCGCGGCATGTGGGATCTTCCCGGACTGGGGCAAGAACCCGTGTCCCCTGCATCATTAGGCGGACTCTCAACCACTGCGCCACCAGGGAAGCCCCTGTTGTATAATTTTTTTTAACAGTTGGCTGTTGAAATCAACCTCCAGACAAGGTCTATGCTTTGCATTTGGTGAATATCTTTTAAGTTTTTTTTAATCTGTTAAATGCTGCCCGCCCCCCCCCACCACCATTTTTTGTCCTTGCAATTTGTTTATCAAAGAAACCAAATCATATAGAGTTTCCCACATTCTGGGCTCTTTCTTTTAAAATGTCCCTTTCTCCCCTGTATTTTTGGTTAGCTGGTCATAAGAATCTTGATCTGATTCAGATTCAGGTTTGATGTGTTGCTATTTATTCAGCTTCGGAAGTATACAAAGCTTTCTTTTTAAATATTTGTTTATTTTTCTAGCTCTAGGTGATGGCATTGCTCCTCCAGAAAAAATTCTTTTCCCATCTGAGAAGATTTGTCTTAAGTGGCAGCAAACTCATAGAGTAGGAGCTGGGCTCCAGAATTTGGGCAATACCTGTTTTGCCAACGCAGCGCTGCAGTGTTTAACTTATACACCACCACTTGCCAACTACATGCTATCACACGAACACTCCAAGACATGTAAGTGTTCTGTATTATGTTATGTGTATAGTGTTATGGTATGCTAACCTACTTTCATTTTTTTTCTCTGAAATGAAAGTGAAGATTTAAGCCAAGAATTTGATCATCACTAAGGAGTTGGTTTCTTCTTTTAGAAATCATGGAGGAAGACTCTTAAAGATTTACATTCAGGTCGCATAAAAAACAATTTGCACATAATTTGACCTGTAGAATTATTTAAAAACAAACATATTTTATCAGCATTTGGCATTTCTGAAGCCCCTGCTGGCTTTCTACACTTGCTAAAAAATGTGACTAAAAAATGTGACATAAATGTCTACTGTCAACAGCTTGGGACAAGCAGGGCTAAGAATCCCACTTCTCCTGGCATCCATCCTGTGTTGAACGCTTGATTCATTTACAGGCTTTAAGCATTAGCGGAGAGGAGCCTCTTGTCACTGGTCCTCACCTCCTGGAAATTCATGCAGGACTTTCCCTTTAGTGTGTGAGAGCTCGGTTTTCAACCCAGAGGGCAGGAAGTTAGTTAACACACGTTATGTCTTTAATTAGGTGAGAGCCAACTCCATGGTCAACTAGTGAAGTTCAGAATATAGAACATATCCGTTTTTTGAGGTTTTGACCTTCTGCATATAGTGTTGTACATACTCTTCACCCTTGATAAGTGAAATCTCCCTGTTCTTTGATCTACATTAATGTGTGTGTGTGTATGTTAGGGTGCTAGTCCTTCATTATTAGAGTGAAAAAAAGCCCCTTCGTTTCTTTTTGAATAGCCCTTTACTTTTTTGGGTTTTTTTGTGGCTTGTGGGATCTTAGTTCCCCCACCAGGGATTTATTTATTTATTTGTTTGTTTGTTTATTTATTTGGCTGTGCCGGCTCTTCATTGCAGCACGCGGGATCTTTGATCTTCATTGCGGCGTGCGGGTTCTTTAGTTGTGGCATCTGGGATCTTTAGTTGAAGCATGCAAACTCTTAGTTGCAGCATGCATGTGGGATCTAGTTCCCTGACCTGGGATCAAACGGGGACCCCTGCATTGGGAGCGTGGAGCCTTAGCCACTGGACCACCAGGGAAGTCCCCCGACCGGGGATTGAACCTGGGCCCTCGGCAGTGAAGGTGCCGTGTCCTAACCACTGGACCACCAGGGGATTCCCGAATAGTTTTTTACTTAATGGAGAATTTAGACTCACTCTTTTAAAACTTTATTCCCCCAAAGAGCAAAATTATGGTTTTAAAGAATTTGGAAAGTACAGAAAATTTTAAGGTAACCAAAAGAAAATCACCTAGAATCTCACCATCAAGAGGTGGTTCTTATGCCAGGGTTTCAAATTACAGAAGGAAGATTCTGTTTGCCCTCATTTTCTTCCTTTTTAAGTCCATAATTCATTCCCCACAGACAGCTTTCCTATCACTTTTGCGCTTAATGAAAGTAGGATGTGGATGAAAACCCAGCACTGGCATCCTGGACAGAGAGAGAGAGGATGGAGACAAAAATGCAGACACTCGGGGTGTCCAGAATTAGGTGCCTGTCTTTTATAGGCCATTGGTAGCTTTCTCTTTCTCTCTGTTTTCTCAGCTTTATTGAGGTGTTGTTGATAAACAATAAATTGCACGTTTAAAATACACAATTTGATGCATTTTGACATTTGTGTATACCCATGAAACGATCACCACAGTCTACATCATGGACATATTCATCGCTCCCCTAACGAGTCTCAGTGCTCCTTTGAAATCTGTCCCTCCCACCCTTTCCTGTCCCTCATCCCCTCCACCCCAGGCAACCACTGATATGCTTTCTGTTTACTACAGATTAGTTTGTATTTTCTAGAATGTCTTATATGTGGAATTACACAGTATATATTTTTATATTGCCTGGCTTCTTTCACTCAGCACAATTATTTCAGCATTATTCCATGTTGTTGCATGTATCAATAGTTAATTTTTATTGCTGAGTAGTATTCCATTGTGTGGATAGATGTACCACAGTTTGGTTCTCCATTCACCTATTGATGGACATTTGGGTGATTTCCCATTTTGGGCCATCACAAATTAAGCTACTATGAGGACTTCCCTGGTGGCACAGTGGTTAAGAATCTACCTGCCAATGCAGGGGACACCGGTTCAATCCCTGGTCTGGGAAGATCCCACATGCTATGGAGCAGCTAAGCCTGTGCGTCACAACTACTGAGTCTGCGCTCTAGAGTCCATGAGCCACAACTACTGAGCCCACGTGCTGCAACTGCCGAAGCCCGCGTGCCTAGTGCTCCGCAACAAGAGAAGCCACCACAATGAGAAGCCTGTGCACCGCAACGACGAGTAGCCCCCACTCGCCGCAACTAGAGAAAGCCTGCACGCAGCAACGAAGACCCAGTGCAGCCAAAACACAAAACAAAACAAAACAACAAATTAAGCTACCTTGAAGTCTTTGTAAGGACATGTTTTCATTTCTTGTGGGTAAATATCTAGGAGAGGAATGGCTTGGTCCTATAGTATGTGTGCGCCTAACTTTAAGTTACTTCTAAACTGTCTCCCAAAGGGATTGTGATATTTTACACTTCCACCAGCAGTGAATGAAACTTCCATTTGTTCCCTATCTCCCCTAATACTTGGCGTGGTCAGTCTTTCCAATTTTAGCCACTCTAATAGGTGTGTAGCATAATAGTATCTTACTGTGGTTTTAATTTGCATTTCCGTAATGAATAGTGATGTTGAACATCTCTCCATATGGTTCTTTGCCATCTGTGTATTTGCTTTGCTCAAGCGCCTGCTCATATCTTTTGCCTGATTTAAAATCGCATAGTTTTCTTAGCGTTGAGTTTTGAGAGTTCCTTATGTGTTCTGGATAGAAGCCCTTTATCAGATACGTAATTTGCAAATGTTTCCCAATCTGGAGGAAATAGTCTCCTTGAGCTGCCTTTCAAGAGCATGTTTTTAGTTTTGAAGAGCACTGCTTCATGATTTTTCCATTGTTGTCGTCTGTGCTTTAGGTGTTGTGTTTAAGAATCTGCCTAAGCAGAGGTTGCAAAGATTTTCCCGTTATTTTTTAGCAGTTTTATACTTTTAGTTTTTTTGTTGTTTTTTTTTGCGGTACGCGGGCCTCTCACTGCTGTGGCCTCTCCCGTTGCGGAGCACAGGCTCCGGACGCGCAGGCTCAGCGGCCATGGCTCACGGGCCCAGCCGCTCCGCGGTATGTGGGATCTTCCCAGACCGGGGCACGAACCTGTGTCCCCTGCATCGGCAGGCGGACTCTCAACCACTGCGTACTTTTAGTTTTTATATTTAGGTCAGTGGTACATTTTGAGTTAATTTTTATTTGTGGTGTGAAGAATGCATTAAAGTTCATGCTTTTCAATATGGACATCCCGTTGTTCCAGCACTATTTGTTCAAAAGATAGCCCTTTCTCTACTGAATTATTTTTGTACCTTTGTCAAAAATCAATTGATCAGGGCTTCCCTGGTGGCGCAGTGGTTGGGAGTCCGCCTGCCGATGCAGGGGGCGCGGGTTTGTGCCCCGGTCCGGGAGGATCCCACGTGCCGCGGAGCGGCTGGGCCCGTGAGCCATGGCCGCTGGGCCTGCGCGTCGGGAGCCTGTGCTCCGCAACCGGAGAGGCGCAGCAGTGAGAGGCCTGCGTACCGCAAAAACAACAACAACAACAGCAACAAAAATCAATTGATCATATACATATGGATCTATTTCTGGACTCTGTTTTGTTACACTGATCCACTATCTCTCGACACCATAACACAGTGCCTTGTTACTATATATTTAAAAGTTTTGAAGTCAGGTAACTTTTCCAACTTTGTTCTCCTTTTTCAAAGTTGTTTTGGCCATTCTTGGTCCTTTGCATTTCCAAATGAATTTTGAAATCAGTTTGTCAATTTCTACAAAAAAGCTTTCTGAGATTTTGATTAGGATTGTGTTGAATCTGTAAATCAGTTTGGGATGAATGACATCCAAACAGTATTGTCTTCTGACCCACAAACTAGGTATTTGTTTAGGTTATCTTCAGTTTTTCTTAGCTGTGTTGCATAGTTTTCAGTATACAATTTTTACATTTTTTAATCCAGTTTATCCCTAAGTATTTCATATTTTTGAAAGCTATTATAAATGGTAATAGTTTTTGAATTTCGATTTTTGATTGTTCATTGTGAGAATATAGAAATGCAGTTGAACTTTGTTTCTTGATCTTGTATCCTACAACTTTGCTCAGCTCCTTAATTCTAGTAGTTTTTTTAATACAATTACTTGACTGATTGCCGTTATGATTACTTAGGGGCATGTTTTTAGTTGCGAGATGATTGGGGATTTTTCGGAAATTGTCCTGTTACTGATTACTACTTTAATTCCATTGTGGTCAGAGAAGATACTTTTATTGTTTGAATCCTTTGAAACTTGAGACTTGTTTTATGCACCAGAATGTGGTCTAGTTTGTTAAATATTCCACGTGTACTTAATAAGGATGTGTATTCTGCTGTGTTGGTTGGAGTTTCTATAAATGCTGATTATGTTTAGTTACTTGATAATGTTGTTGAGGTTGTCTTTTATGTCCTTTTACTGCTTTTCTGTCTACTTGTTCTGTCAAATTTTGAGAGAGGTATGTTGAAATAAAATAAATTTTTGAATTTGTTTCTTCATTCTGTTCTATCCGTTTTGCTTCAGGTATTGTGAAACTCTGTCACTTAAGGTTATTATGACCTCTTGGTGAACTGACCTATTTATAACTTGTGAAATGACCTTCTTTATCTCAAATAATATGCTTTACTCTGAAATCTGCTTTGTCTGAAATAGAGCCACTCCAGTTTTCTTATTAACGTTAGCATGGTATATCTTTTTCCATCTTTTAACTTTTAACCTATTTGTGTTTATATTTAAAGTGGATTTCTTGTAAACAGCCTATAGTTCTTGTTTTTTAATCCAGTCTTACAGTCTCTGCCTTTTAAAATATAAATCATTTATATTTAATGAGAGTATTGATATGATTGGTTTTACATTTACCATCTTGCTGTTTGTTTTCTAATTGTCCTGTATTCTTTGTTCCCTTTTTCATCGTTCTCTGCCTTCTTTTGGAATGAGTAATTTTATATTTTCTCTCCTTTATTGGCATATTTTCTCTAACTTTGTTTTCTCTTTTTAGTGGTTGCTTTAGTGTTTAGCATACATTTTTAACTTACCATAGCTTGCACCGAGATACTATTACATTTCTTGTGTAGTATAAGGACTTTATGACAGTATACTTTCATGGTCTCTCTCTAGGCATTTGTGCTATTGTTGTCACACGTTTTACTTAATTTGTATCCACATAATATATTGTATGATTTTGCTTTAAATAAAATTTAAAAGTTTTATTTTAAGTAGTTTGTTAAGGTTTCTTTACCAGTCTTTTATATTTACTTACTCTTTTATCATTTCCACTGCTTTTAATTCCTTTGTGTAGATCCAGACATCCATCTGGTATTTTTTCATATGCCTGGAGGAATTCCCTTAACTTTTCTTGCTGGTGACAAACTGTTTTTTTGTTTGTTTGGTTGGTTGGTTTTCTTAATAAATTTATTTATTTATTTATTTTTGGCTGCGTTGGGTCTTCATTGCTGGGTGTGGGCTTTAGTTGCGGCGAGCAGGGGCTACTCTTCCTTTTGGTGCACGGGCTTCTCATTGTGGTGGCCTCTCGTTACGGAGCACGGGCTCTAGGTGCGTGGGCTTCAGTAGCTGTGGCATGCAGGCTCAGTAGTTGTGGCTCACGGGCTCTAGAGCGCGTGAGCTCAGTAGTTGTGGCGCCTGGGCTTAGTTGCTCCACGGCATGTGGGATCTTCCTGTACCAGGGGTCGAACCCGTGTCCCCTGCATTGGCAGGTGGATTCTTAACCACTGCGCCACCAGGGAAGCCCCCAAACTCTGTTTTTTGGGTTTTGTTTTATTTATTTGGTTTTTTTTTATTCTTGGTCTGAAATATCTTTATTTTGCCTTTTTTGAAGCTAAACTTTATTTTGAGGTAATTTTAGATTTACTTGCAGTTGTAAGAAATCACACAGAGGCCTCCTATGTACCCTTACCCAGTTTCCCGCATTGGTGACACTGTAGTTCAATCTCACAGCCAGGATATTGATATCGATACAGTCAAGGTACAGAACATTTCCATCACTAAGTATCATGTTTCCCTTTTATAGCCAAGCCCACTTCCCTCGTGTCCCCACCTCCTCCTTAATCCCTGGCAACTACTAGTTATCACTTCTATCATTTTGTCATTTCAAGAATGTTACATATATTGAATTATATAGTAGGGATTGGCTTTTTCACTCAGCACAAGTCTCTGGATATTCATTCACTTTGTTGTGTATATTAATAATTTGTTCCTTTTTATTGCTGACTAGTATTGCATGGTATGGATGGACCACAATTTGTTTAACCACTCATCCATTAAAGGACATCTGGGTTGTTTCCAGTTTCTGGATATTATGAATAGAGCTGCTGTAAACATTAGTGTGTAGAGCATAGGTGTGAACACAAGTCTTTATTTCTCTGGAGTAAATGCCCAGAACTACAGTTGCTGGGTCATAAGGTAGTTGCATGTTTAGTTTTGTAAGAAATTGCCAAATAGTTTTCCAGAGTGGCTGACCAGTTTACATTTCCACCAGCAGTGTATTGAGTTCCAGTTGCTCTGCATTGATGCCAGCATTTGGTGTTTCACTATTCATTTTAGCCATATGGTAATGATGAGTATAATGATATCTCATTGTAGTTTTAATTTGCATTTCCCTAATGCCTAAAGGTCTTGAACTTCTCTCCATGTGTTTATTTACCATCTGTATATATCCCCTTTGGAAAATATCTCTTTGTGTCTTTCGTTCATTTTCTATTGTGTTCTTTGTTTTTATATTGTTATTTTGTTCTTTATATATTCTAGATATTAGGTCTTTTTCGGATATATGTTTCCAACATTTCATGCCAGTTTGAAGCTTGTCTTTTCATCCTCTTAACAGGGTCTTTCACAGAGCAAAAGTTTTAAATTTTGGTGAAGTCCAACTTTTCCTTTTATGGATTGTGCTTTTGCTGTCAAGTATAAGATCTCTTTGCATAGCCCTTGATCCTAAAGATTTTCTCCTATTTTTTTTCCTACAAGTTTTATAGTTTTACATTTAGGTATGTGATCCATTTTACGTTAATTTTTGTATAGCATGAGGTTTATTTTTTTCTGTCTGTGGATGTCCAGTTGCTCTAGCACCATTTGTTTAAAAGGCTATCTTTCCTTCATTAATTGCTTTTGCACTTCTGTAAAAAAGTCACTTGGATGTATTTGTGTGGGTCTATCTCTGGGTCCCCTATGCTGTTCTGTTAAGGTATGTATCTGTCCCACAACACAGTTGGTCTTTGTTATTGTAGCTATGTAATAAATCTTGATATCAGGTAGAGTGAGTCCATCCACTTATTCTTTTTCAAAATTGTTTTTTTCTATTCTGGTTCCTTTTTCTTTCCATATAAATTACAGAATAATCTTGTCTATATGTACAAAAAAATCTTGTTGGGATTTTGATAGAAATTTTGTTAAACCTGTATCTCAGTTTGGGGAGAATTGACGTCTCTACTACGCTGACATTTCCAGTCTGTGGATGTGGTATGTCTCTCCATTTACTTAGATCTTCTTTACTTTGTTTCATCAGTGTTGTGTAGTTATCAGCATGTTTTGTTTTGTTAGATATACACCTAATCCTTTTATTTTTTGAGGAATTATAAACATCATAATATTTTTAATTTTGGTGTTCACATTTTTATTGCTGGTATATAAAAATACATTTGATTTTTGTATATTGACCTTACTGACTTCACTTAATATTTCTAGGCTTTTTTTTTTCTTTTGGGAGTCCTTGTATTTTTCTATGTAGAGAATCATGTCATATGCAGATAGGGACATTTTTACTTATTCCTTACTGATTTGTATCCTTTATTCCCTTTTCTTGCCTTATTTCACTGGCTAGAACTTCTAGCAATATGTTGAATAAGAGTGATCAGTGCTGACATCCTTGCCTCATTTCTCATCTTAGGGGAAAAGTATTCAGTTTGATGTTAGCTGTAGGTTTTTCCTTTTTATCAAGTCAAGGAAGTTCCCCTCTATTTCTTTCCTTTTTTTTCTCTCTTCTATTTCTGTTTTACTGATTCCCGCTTTTTATCTTGAATGAGTGTTGATTTTTGTCAATAGTTTTTTTCTGTGTGTCAAATTGATATGATCATGTGAATTTCTTCTTCAGCTTATTAATATAGTGGATTATACCAGTAGATTTTCCAGTACTGAGTCATCTTTGTATCTCTGGAATAAACTCCGTTTGGTCATGATGTTTATTTTTATATTTTGCTGAATTTTTGTTAAGGATTTTTACATGTGTTCATGAGACATGTCGGTCTTTAATCTTCTGTTTTTGTACCACCTTTGTGTGGTTTTGGTATCAGGGTAATACTAGCTTTATAAAATGAATTTGGGATATGTTAACTCCTGTTTTTCAGAAGAGACTGTAGAATTGATGTAAATTCTTATTTAGTGTAGAATCCATCAGGTAAACTATCTTGGCCTGGAGATTTCTTTTCTGGGAGTTTTAAAATTGCAAATTTAATTTCCTTAATAAGTATAGTGCTATTCCAATTATTTTATATTGGGTGGGTTGTGGTAGTTCACTTCTTTTGAGGAATTGGTCCATTTTTTCAAAGTTGTCAAATTTATGTGTGTGAAGTTATTTATAGTATTCCCTTGTTATCCTTTTGATGACTGCAGGGTTGATATCCTTGTTTTTGCTTCTGATATTGGTATTACTGTAAATTTCCCTTGCAACACTGCTTTAGCTGTGTCCCAAAACTTTTTTTTTAATTAATTAATTAATGTATTTATTTATGGCTGCGTTGGTTCTTCGTTGCTACGCATGGGCTTTCTCTAGTTGTGGTGAGTGGGGGCTACTCTTTGTTGTGGTGTGCGGACTTCTCATTGCAGCGGCTTGTGTTTTTTGCAGATCACAGGCTCTAGGCACGCGGGCTTCAGTAGTTGTAGCATGCAGGCTCAGTAGTTGTGGCTCGTGGGCTCTAGAGTGCAAGCTCAGTAGTTGTGGCGCAGGCCCCCTGTATTGGGAGCGTGGAGTCTTAACCACTGTGCCACCAGGGAAGTCCTGTAACTGTTATGCTTATTTCAGGAGTGTGCCCGTTATTTATAATACCCCTTGATGTATATATAGAGTCATATTTTGCTAATTTGGAGGATTATCATCTGTTATCTTTCAGGTCATGCAGAAGGATTTTGTATGATGTGTACAATGCAGGCTCATATCACACAAGTGCTGAACCATCCTGGGGATGTTATTAAACCGATGTTTGTCATTAATGAGATGCGGCGTAAGTATCCTCTATAGTAGTTTATATTAGTATTTGTTAGCTAATTGGTCTTAATGGTCTAACTGGTAAATGATGAGCTCCTCGTGTATTACATCAAACAGTTTATTGTATATGTATATGTCTTTAATGAATAACAGGTTTTTAGTAAACTATTTACTATATAAACACATTTTGAAACCTAAAGTAAAAGATGACAGTATAGTAAAGAAGGTGGTATTCAGTTTAATATATAAACACATTAAAAATTTAAAAAACTCAATTTATTAATAAAATCATTGATAAGTTTTACAGTGTTTTTCTCAGATATTTGGATTTCTATGCTAATACTAACTCTAATATTGTCCCGCAGGTTTCTTTAGTTTTCAATTAGTTTTAATTCAATGAATGAGTATTACACTATACATAGTGATGGGAATTATCAAAATAAAGTTAATTATACTTTTAAAGAAAATTTTACACTCATAACTTAGCAAATTTGTGGATAAATTTCACTTTTTCTATACAATTTTTAAATGACTTTAAAATTTCCTCTTGAATTGTAATGATCCTGATAGGTCACATGAAATATTTTTTTGCACTTTCTGTATGTTTTTTGCAATAAGCTTTTACATCATCTTAATTAACTGAGTTGGAATAAAAAATGCTTGCAAATAAAACAAAAACCTAACTCTTAATCTGCTATCTAGCTGGGTAATTATAGGGGTGGATAATTACACAGTGACAATTTATAATCTTTTTGCCTAAAAAGCTGCTGAAGATAAAGAGGCGTTATATTGGCCCTTGGTACTATTAAGAGGCCAGAGTAGACAATGCAAAAATTTTTTAAACATTATAGGATCCTGGCAGAATTTTAGCCAGGGGTGATTTTGTTTAATTACGTGTATATATTACACACACACACACACACACACACACACACACACACACACACACACATATGGCAGGCATGTCTAATATTTTTAAACTTAGTCTTTAAGAGGATGTCATTGTGTGTATATACATACATCCATGAACATACACCGCCTGCTAACTCCAAACATATATGGTTGAATGATGAAATTGTCATTTTTGTAGGTCAGAACTGGTAGAATATTGGCAATTTCATATGATTCAAGTTAATATATATTTATATATATTAATACACATTAAAATTCTATGTATATTGTTTATCCTTTTGTGTTGTTTTTCATTATTATGTAATTTTGTCTTGCGGCTGTTTAGTCAATTAGAAATAGGACCAAGGTGATACTCAGTGGAGAATATAGTATATTCTCTAGGTTATTGGGATAGAATTTAGATAGGTTCACACATTTATGTTTTACATGGATTCTCTCAGGGAGATCTAGGGCCAGATTTAAGGTGTGTGCACTGACCTAACATTTGGGACAAATTTTTGAAACACTATAGCCAAAGTTGAATTTATTCAGGTATCATTTTATTGCTGAAGACATAGAGTCTCTGGGCTCTCAGAAACTCTAGCCCATGTAGACTTTTAATGGTCTAAAGGGCCTGTCCTAGCTGTTCTCAGGGGAGCTTATTAATGCTGTTTCCTCATAAAATAATTATCGGGTATTTTCTAACCAACGTATTGATATAAGATGTAACTTTTGGGGGAGTACAGCCCGGCATGTCATGTGATGATAAAGCTTTGTCTTTACTCAAACTTTATAGGCATAGCTAGGCACTTCCGCTTTGGAAGCCAAGAAGATGCCCATGAATTCCTTCAGCACACTGTTGATGCTATGCAAAAAGCATGCTTGAATGGCAGCAACAAGTGAGTACACACAGCATCCGTCAACCCTCATTCCCACCCGCTGCCCACCTTGCTGGCTCGCCAGAACTCAGTCTAGCCTTTTATGATGGGTGTGCAGAGCACTCTTTCGGCCTCAGCTTTTGACTTTGCGCTGCCTCTTCCTCAAGTGATTGGCATTATTTTCAAATGGTTGAAATTTTAAAAGGTGTGCTTACTATAATAATTTGGATTTAATTACAGATGTCAGGACATGAATATTGGTCTTGACATTGTTTAAGTTCTGAGTATCATCATCCCTCTGCAGGTCAAAACTAGCCACTTCTCCTTTCTTGTGCCAGCGTTTTCTGAGTTGATCTCTAGACTTTGAAATCTGTATTTGTTCCCTGTGTCTTTCTCACGCTGGTCAGTTACCAGTTTCTGCAGTTTCTTCTTTAAAATCTAAATGTGGGCTCAAGAGGAAGATGAGAAACAATTAGATAACAAGGCCTAACCCACTTGCCATTGCCTTAACACACCCAGCAAGCCTCCCATTCCCTTCCCACTGCCATCAGCACTGCCTCGGCCAGGCTTTCCTTGTCTGGATGACAGTAGCTGCAGAACAGGGGAGAACGCTCTGTGTTCCCTGCCTTCGCCGGCAAGTCCTCACACTCGGTGTCACAGTCCTGCTTTAGGGTGACTTCCTCTTACTACTTGCTTCAGGGCCAGATTCCTGACTTAATTTTGAAGTCCCTTCTTAATACCAGGCTACCTCTTTTCCTGCCTCACCCCAAACCCTCACTGTGTTCTGATGAGGCAAGGCTATTCTCTGGCTGTCACACATACTGTGCAGCTCTGCTGTTTGAATTCTCGTTCTTTTATAGATGTACATGCTTTTAAAATCTGGTTATAGCCTCTGTCATTTTTGTAGAACTCTTCTCTCATTTTACTGTTTGACTTTTTCAGATTAGACAGACACACCCAGGCTACCACACTCGTTTGCCAGATATTTGGAGGATACCTGAGATCTAGAGGTAAACTTCTGTTTAAAGGTTGATAAGTGTGATACAGTATGTGGTTTAAAAAATGCAAAGGATAGGAAAGGGTTAATAATGGAAAGTGTATCTCCCTTCCAGCCCAGACTCCCATCCCCCATCCTCAGAGGCAGCCCCTGTCCCATTCCAGTAGTTTCCTGTGCATGAGCAGACTGGCTTTTCACATTGGAAACCTTTTTACATTTCAGCACATATAGGTCTAACAGAGTCTTTCACAGTTGCAGTAGTATTCCATTTATTTTAGTTCCCTATCAGGGAATTTCTAGATTGTTTCTAATTTTTGTTGTTGTTGTTACCATCAGTGCTTCATTGAACATCCCTGTATACACATGCCTTTATGTCCATGTAAAAGTGTATATACACAGGATAATTTGTTAGAATCTCCTTACCAAAGGGTGTGTTTATTTTAAACTTTGACTCTGCCGTGTCACTCTTCCAAGAGCTTATGCCAGTTTACACTCCAGCCAGTGGTGAACGTGCATCACATTAGTGCCTCTCACTGTGTAGCAGTAAAATGGTTTGCCCAATGTGACAGAGAAAAAAGTACCTTGTGTTTTTTATTTTGTGATAGGATTTATATGTTCTGTCATTTCAGTAGTTGGTATTGCCATACTGATTATACTTGGCTTATCCTTTGCATTTTCTTTTTATTTCAGTCAAATGTTTAAATTGCAAAGGTGTGTCAGATACTTTTGATCCATATCTCGACATAACATTGGAAATAAAGGTAAGTTTGATAGTTGTTGTGGTGGTGAAATTAAAAGAAGTCAGTCATACTTTATGTATTTATAGTTCACTTATAATTTAGACTACACTTGTTAGAGAATATAAATTGAAAATTTTAATATGCTAGGACTTTATTTAGAGGAGATTATTTAAGCTTTGTATTAGGCATCATAAAAAACTTAAAACATTTAATAAATTTATTACCCTTTGACTTTTCACTTAATCTTAATAAAACCAGATTCTGATGCCTATATTAGCCAAATTTAGGTGGTTGTTATTCTTTAGATACTGTTCTGCTTCTTGCATTTTCTAAACTCCTATTTTTTGTTGTCTTAAGCTTTTGTTTTTCTGATTACAAGTGTAATACATACTAATGATAAAAATGAGAAACATTGCAGAGACGTGTGAGATCCTGTCCCTCAGAATGTACTCTTGTTAACAGTTTGATATAAACTGCTTCCAGAGTATTTGTTTACTGTTTATAAAAATGGGTGTGTACCTTCGGTCTGTTTGGCCACTTCCTGTCTTCATTGCGTTTTGCTTGGGGCTTCTGTGTGTTGTGCTTCTGCCGATTTACGCGCCTGATTCCTTACTGGTAGATACGTCATTTGTTGCCACTTTTACGCTATTTTAAATAATGCTGCAGCACGCAACCTCTTCACATACTTCTGCTGACTTTAATCTGCTCTTTTTTTTAATGGGAGGGGAAATAGCTTGGTGTGTACATGTATTAATATAAAACTGAACGTCACAATGAAAGAAGATTTTCTTTTTACATAAAAATTCACGTTTGCTTTTATACTTTCGAGTCGTCTCTTTTCTTTTTCCTAACAAGCGGCAGTGAGTGGTAATGTGGTGTTGGTGCTCTGTTCCCAGGCTGCTCAGAGTGTTAATAAGGCATTGGAGCAGTTTGTGAAGCCGGAACAGCTCGATGGAGAAAACTCGTACAAGTGCAGCAAGTATGACGGGTGATGCTGGACGCTGCATGGGGGGCGGGGAGGCTTGGTTTGAAAGGGTTCGGTGTGTCTGCGTAACCTAGGGCTAGATTCCTGTTACCGTCGGGGAAGACCCTGGGTCTCTCTTCCCCAAGGGCCAGGGCACGCTGTGTCTCAGTGTTTACACTCTGCAGAGAAGTGCACTGAAGAATGGGAGATGGGGCCTCGCTCCTGGGGAGGTGGGTGGGAATGAAGAGGTAATGTCAGTGCTGCTGCCTGTGAAGCTTGGCTGTGGCGGTGTGTGTGTCGAGCAGCATTTACATGGACTCCCCTGTGTGAAAGGGTTGGCGTGGATGGGGAGTCACTTTCTCCCAGAGCAGTTCAGGGTCTCTCTTAACTGCTGGCTGTCTCCCAGGATTTGGGTCAGTATCTGCTAGAAACCTTGAATTTAAGTTATTCTTTAATGTTTCCCCATCAAGTCAACAGAGGCTTTTTTTTTAAAAAGGGGGGCAGTGTCTTTCTTTCTTTCTTTCTCTTTCTTTTTCCCTCCTTCCTTCTTTCTTTCCTCCCTTCCTTCTTTCTTTCTTTCAAGATTTATTCATTATTTATTTATTTAATTTATTTTTCACTGTGTTGGGTCTTAGTTGCGGCATGCAGGATCTTTCATTGCAGCTCACAGCCTTCTCTCTAGTTGTGGTGTGTGGGTTTTCTCTAGCTGTGGCACACAGGCTCCAGGGCACGTGGGCTCCATAGTTGTGGTGTGCAGGTTCCAGAGTGTGTGAACTCTGTAGTTTGCGACACGTGGGCTTTCTAGTTGAGGCGTGCGAGCTCAGTAGTTGTGGCGCTCAGGCTTAGTTGCCCTGCAGCATGTGGGATCTTAGTTTCCTGGCCAGGGATCGAACCCTCGTCCCCTGCATTGTAAGGCGGATTCTTTACCACTGGACCACCAGGGAAGTCCCAAGAGAACCTATTTTAAGAAAGCCCTGTTTCATATGTTTTAAGTAGATTTTCATTGTAAGTCAGGTAATACAGGTAAGCGTTGTTATTGAATATAGGCAGACCTCAGGGATATCGCAGGTTTGGTTCCAGACTACCACAATAAAGCAAATCTTACAATAAAGTGAATCACATGAATTTTTTTGTTTCCCAGTGCATAGAAAAGTTATGTCTATGCTATACTGTAGTCTAAGTGTGCAATAACATTATGTCTAAAAAACAATGTACAGACCTTCACTTAAAAATACTTACTGTTAAATATACTTACTGTTACTGTTAAAAAATGCCAAAATAGGGCTTCCCTGGTGGCGCAGTGGTTGAGAGTCCACCTGCCGATGCAGGGGATGTGGGTTCGTGCCCCGGTCCAGGAAGATCCCACATGCCGCGGAGCGGCTGGGCCCGTGAGCCATGGCTGCTGAGCCTGCGCGTCTGGAGCCTCTGCTCTGCAACGGGAGAGGCCACAACAGTGAGAGGCCCGTGTACTGCAAAAAAAAAAAAAAAAATCACCGATCACAGGTCACCATAACAAATATAATAATAATGAAAAAGCTTGAAATATTGCGAGAATTACCGAAATGTGACACAGAGACACGAAGTAAGCAAGTGCTTTTGGAAAAACGGTGCCAGTAGACTTGCTCCATGCAGGGTTGCCACAGACCTTCAATTTGTGAAAAATGGAATATCTGCAAAGGGTAATAACATGAGGTGTGCCTGGGTTCATTTTGTTGGGGGAGAAGGCTCCCTTTCCTCCCAAGACCATAGGAATTTCTCCTTTGTTTTAAACTTCATGGACATTTCTAGTCTTTACTTTCTTCCTTTTGTATCTGGGCTTAGTTTTCACAGTATTATACCAGCCAGTTTTTCAGTTTGTTTTCCATTGAGAGAAACTTATATTAATCTAATTTTTAAAATATCAGTGACCTGTCATACCTGACATTTCAGAACTGTCCTTTTTCTTTCATGCTAATTAAGCAGTTTCCCCCATACTTTAAATTTTAATATTTTCACTGTTGGTTGAAAAGGGTGGTATTTCTCATCTCATAGCCTTCTTTTGGAAACTTAATTTAGAATGTTTCAGAGGAATAACAAGGGAAAGATTTTTAAAAACCCATATTAATCTTCTTAAACATCTGTTTCTGTTTTTTTCCAAGGTGTAAAAATATGGTTCCGGCTTCAAAGAGGTTCACTATACACAGGTCTTCTAACGTTCTTACACTTTCTCTGAAACGTTTTGCAAATTTTACTGGTGGAAAAATTGCTAAGGTATGTAGATAATATTATGAATAACTGTTTATGTTTAGCCTTTCAAGGCCTAAGTGTCAGCAACTAAATTGAACAGTTTTATTACCTGATTTTCTAAGTTCTTCCAGCGCTTGGTAGTAGAAAAGAATGTCAAAGAATTGAGCTAGTAGTTTGGTGTGTGTGTTTATGAGCGTACGTGTTTTTTTCTGTATCCTTTAGCTGGCTAGACTTTCTGAAGGATAAATTGATGATTATTATCTTCATTTGGGCTTCATAGTCAGTGCAGGTGACGAGTGGCTACAGGGAGTGAGCTTGTGTCATTTGAATCCAAAGAGGGTTCCCAGTCACATCTTGCCATTCATCAGAGCTTATTTTATTTATTCATTTGTTTTCTGACTGGTAGTATACTGAATTATCCCATTTTCTTCCCACTTTCTGAAGATTGAAAGTGGTCAGAAATCTAGTAACATGCAAAAGAAATCTGTTCCTGAATTGTTAAAAATAAAAATAAGACTGTCTGGACTCTCAAATCCAGAGTTGTGATTGTTACTGTCTCCTTTGATGGATTTGGAGAATTCACTTACTGTGGATCCTTATCTGTTTAAAGGAAACAAAGAATCCAGTGGGATTGCATTAAACACACTTAGGTTCAGGTGTGCTCCAGGTTGATTCTGTCTTTTGAAACGAGCTTCAGTGTGCTGGTTTTCTGCCAGAACGTAAGGCACAGTGCTCTGGCGTCTCCTGTGCCCGTGCACATGGGATGACCTGCACCTTCAGAAATGACGTTCCTTTTTCCTCTTTCCATTCCTGTGTAGGATGTGAAATATCCTGAGTATCTTGATATTCGACCGTATATGTCTCAGCCAAACGGAGAACCTATCATTTATGATTTGTATGCAGTACTGGTACACACTGGTTTTAATTGCCATGCTGGCCATTACTTCTGCTACATAAAAGTAAGCTCTGTGGATTTTGCTAATAACTATTTTTACAATACACTGTAAGATAGCCCTGGCATTTTGGGGAGGAAAGGTGGGGCTTTTACAGGTGAAATGTGAAAGCCCATTTTTCTTACGTCTCTGGATTGGTGTTCCCTATTTACCTAATTGTATCTAATATCTCTTTTATTGGCTGTTTTGCAGGCTAGCAATGACCTCTGGTACCAAATGAATGACTCCATCGTATCTATCAGTGATATTAGATCGGTACTCAGTCAGCAAGCTTATGTTCTCTTTTATATCAGGTATTGTCAGGAAAGCAAATGTTCATCCTTTCTGTTACGTCATCTCTCTTCCTCTCAACATATTTAAATTCAATATTGTTTGTTTAAACAGCATCTCGATGGTGGGGAGAGTAAGGAAGGTGGTATTCAGTGTGGATCATGAGTTTGCTTTAGCTCCCAGCTCTTTGGCAGGTTAATAAAGAAACGTGCAGAAGAAAGGGAAGGTGGTAGTCTCAGAGGGTGGGCTTCTGCTGCTGCTGGCAAACTGGCTCGGCCAGGGGGCCTGGGAGGCAGTGAGTGGAGGCCTGGAGAAGGGGACTTTTGAGTACCTGGGTGTGGTCACCTCTCAACCACTGAGCACAGGCAGCCAGCCACCTCCCTGGGCCAGGCCTGGGCCAGCACCAGCACCCCTGCTGCTGCTGCATATTCTGACTTGCTAATTCCATTTCTGGAAATGTAGGGCCTTGGAACAATCTGATGTGTGCTCCAGTGTATTCATTTGTAGTAGCTGGAAATTAAGAACATCATGAAATTTCCATCAATAGCAGAAGATCATATAAATTGTAGCATATCCATATGATGAAATACAATGCAGCTGTTAAAAGTGATTTTTATAAAGCTTTTTAAAATGATATGAGAGAGTGCTCCATATATGGAGGAAAAGCAGTTTGAAATTTTACACACTGATACTGAAGAAATCAGTACAGGCTAAAGCCTGGAGGAAAATCCACTAAATCTGAATAGTAGATGCCTCGAAGCAGTGAGGGGAGGCACAGTGTTTTTGTTTGTTTCTAACTTTTCAGGATATTACAGATTTTTCTACAATGGTATGTATTTATAATTAGAAAAATAGAAATAAAAAAGAAAAGAAAAATAGCTTTCAAAAAATTAAAAAGTAAAGAACAGTAGCTTTCAGATAGTGGCATCCTCAGAATACACAGTTCAAAATACCATTTGCCCAGTGACCCTGTTATCTCCCGATCTGAGCACCCAGCGTTGGCCTGGACTTGATGGGGACCCTGCGTGTAGCTCTGCGCATCGTGTCACCTGTTACCTGAGGGTGGGGTGTACGTGAATCTCTTTTGGGGAGATGTCCCATATCACCTTGAGCACTGTCACTCTCTGTCCCCAGGTCCCACGATGTGAAAATAGGAGGTGAACTTACTCATTCCGCCCATAGCCCTGGCCAGTCCTCTCCCCAACCGGTGATCAGCCAGCGGGTTGTCAGCAACACACAGGCAGCATCCGGGTTTATTGGACCACAGCTTCCTTCTCACATGATGAAGGTAACGTTCCATGGGTAGAATGTCATATTTATTTTCATCTTTCCAGCCCTCTAGTTAACATTGCAGTAGTTGTCGTGACCTCATCTACAACTGAATTTCTTGTCCAAAAAGTTTATTCAAGCTGTTTATTATATTTCAAATATACAGAAAATCTCCGAGTGTGAACATAATGATCAAGAAGAAAGTCTGGTGTAAGTCTATTTAAACGCTAGAGATTTTAGCTCCCACCTTGGACTTCCGTTCACTTAATGGATTAAATATTTGGGGATTCTTGATTAATGCTGGCCTCCAGGAAAGTGATGCTTTTACAAAAAGAACACTTTAGTCGTATCCATTTAGCCCTTTCAGGAGTGTGGCATGTTCTCTCTGCTGTCCGGCTGGGTCTGATCACACTCCCTCATGGCTTCTCAGGGGGAATGGAAGGTATGCCTGGTTCGTGTGAAGCTCTGAGTCCTCAGTGGAGGCCTGGCTTTTGCTTGACGTAGATGTTGAGATTGTGGACATGTTGGACTTGTTGGAATAGCCTGTATACACCTTGGAATAATCCTTTCACCTGTGCCATAGTGTCGTAACAGCCTTCAGTTTGATAGGGAGTCACAGATTCAGTGCCTTAGGGAGCTGGACAGGCAGCAGGTCCTGCACTGGGCTCTGCCTGAGTGAGACCTCAGGACATGGCCAACTGGAGAGCACATGCCCTGTGTGCAGGGGCCACTGCTGTTTCTTTTTCAAGAGGTTTTTTTGTTTTTGTTTTTTTAACTATGAAGGCTTCCAGTGTTAAGATAGCAACTAATTCAGATATTTAAGAAAACATTTTGAAGACCAAACAGAATTTATCTGTGAGTCAGAATTCACCCATGACTACCAGTTTGCAACTTCTGGGTTATAGCAGCAAAAGTTGGGATCTGGAGCAAAATAACTGCTCGAGTAGGAGTCGGAGATGATAGGGGCAGGGATGGCTTGGTGAGTGTGTCTGTCCACGTGCCTGTCTCCCTCGCTCCCTTGGCCCGTGGGAGTTCCCCGTGGCTGGCACTCCCTTCTGCCCGGACTGTGGTGGGCTCCCAGGAAACCATCCAAGGAGAACCTGTGTGACTCCATGCCCAAAGGGACCTTCTTTCTGTCAAATTGGAGCAGGAAGAATTTGGTCTGGGTGGTGTTCTCTGACAAAAAGAGTGGTCCCTGTTCACCAGAAATTCATTCTCAGAAAACTGTGCCCTGTGAAAGGTTTGTGGTGGGCAGGCCCACAGGAGAGGGGCAGGGCTTTCTAGGTGCGTGAAACTTGTTATTCACAAAAGAAAAAGATAACCGAAGTGGGAGAGGCCCACGGCCTCAGGTTTCTGAGTCTGCGACTGTTTCTGGAGCTCTCACCTGGCTGTGGTCTGCTTGTTTCCAGAACCCACCTCATCTAAATGGGACAGGACCATTGAAGGAAATGCCGAGCAGCTCCATGTCAAGTCCTAACGGGAATTCCAATGTCAGTAGGACTGGCCCTGTTAACGCCTCAACATCCGTTCAGGACTGGTCGGTTAACAGGCCCTCAGTTATTCCAGAACATCCCAAGAAACAGAAAATCACGATCAGTATTCACAGCAAGTTACCTGTGCAAAAAATTCAGTCACAGCCTACTCTTCACAGCAGTTCTTTGGAGAGCCCTAACAAGCCCGCCCCCTCATCTACCGTTACGACTTCTACTGCAATACAGTCTACCTCGAGTCCCCCCATGATGCCTGCGTCTAGTAAGGTAACCAAGCAGATCACCCTGAGGGAGTCCTGCCCTGAGCCTGTGACGAACGGCAGGTCCAAGCTGAGCTCTGGAGTGCTGGTCCCCTACGGCGCCGAGTCGTCCGAAGAGTCCGACGAGGAGGCGAAGGGCCTCGGCAAGGAGAATAGCCTCCGTCCCGCCGAGAGCGCACGCGCCCCTGTTCCAGTTGCCGAAGATGTCGGGGCCTCTCCGCACGAGCTCCGAGAGCCCGTAGCTCTAAATGGTGCTACCAGTATGGACAGTGACCTGAAAGAAAACAGCCTACCCTCGGGTGCTGCCAGCTGCCAAGTCCAGCCTGCTCTACACTCAGAAAACCCCTTTTCTAAGGCAAACAGTCTCCCTGGGAAGGTGAGTGCGCATCGGGCGGGGCTGGGGCGGCCTTTGCTTCCACCCTCGTGTCCGGCGGGTCACGTGGCTGGGTTTCAGGTGGCCCCCGGAGTTGAAACCTCTCTGTTTTTTTATGGTAGTTGATGCCTGCTCCTTTGCCACTTCTCCCAGAAGACAAAATCTTAGAGACCTTCAAACTCGGCAGCAAAGGGAAAGGCTCCACAGATGAGATGAGGTAGGATACGGTCCCAAGGCCGTGGGACGCGGGCCGGGGAGTCACAGCAGGGCCTGTGGGTGCGGCCGCTCTGGAAGTCTCAGGGTGAACCTTTTGGACCCTGGAATGATTTGAATAACGATCTGTCGAACTCGTTCATGTTCCTTTTAAGAAGGTAAACACGTACAGGGTCTGTTAGTCCAGCTGATGCCCCCCCTCCCGCAGCGCCCCTCCTCTCTGGGGCCCCTCCTCTCTGGGGCCCCTCCTCAGCCCCCGGCTGGGCCTCCCGCCGGCACCGTCCCACTCAGCCCCCCGTGTGACAGGCACCTGAGGAGGTGTGAAGGGGTGGCGCAGGGCTTCTCGACTGTCCAATAGCGAAGACTTTGTTTTGCTCCCTTTAGAATTCTGAAATTAAATTCCTAGTTAAGATCGTCTGTCTCCACACTTAAAAAAAAAAAAGAAGTCAGTCAGTGCATTGACCTCAGCGTCATGTAATGGGAGTAGAAGGAAGGGTCAGAAGGCAGTGGCGTGTCGCCATGTGAACAGCCCGGGAGACGGTGCCACCGCAGGACACGGGGTGGGCCAGCAGCTTGGCGCCGCGCACAGGTCACATCACGCACGTCAGCGCGCCGTGACATCCTCCTGGTAGACGACTTCTGGCCAAGCTCTGACCAACCTGAGATCAGCACCCTAGTGGTGTCTGTGAAACGGCCAGTAATAGAGCCGGGGTTTTCACCCACGTGAACGTTGGGACGTGGGCTGTTCTGTGGGACCGCCTGCCTCACCCCCACCCACTGGTGCTGGTGAGGCTCCCCCATCGTGGGGCTAACCCAAAAATGCACCCCACATTTCAGAAGGGCCCTGCGGGGGGCGTGCCCTCACCAAGAACCAGTTAGGAATGCTCACTTAGAAAAACGAGCAAAGAGCACGCACTCCCAGTTGACCCTAAAGAGGGGGCACTTGAACACTCAGTCCCTGGCGGGATGGCTGTCCTCCTCTCTCTATCCTTGTCCGGCTTAGTTGGTCTTCAAATGTAACGTGCGTGAGAATTATGACAGTTGATTGTATAAGCAGTCAGTCCCCAGCTATGCACGTTTCCTAACCTCATGTGCGGCCTTGAACACGTCACTGCCACGCTGTAGGTCACACGTGTCTTCTCTCTCCCAGGTATTTTCCCGCTGTAGAGCGGGCCCGCTTTAGGGTTTTTCTTGCTTTCTGGCAGCTTTCATTAACTTCAAGACTCCATCAAAAGCAAGGCAGAGTTCTTTTACTACAGAAAGTGTTTCTAAATCCTCAGTGATTCCTCACAATTTGCAGGTAATTCAGGGAGCTCTTGGCTCTGTCTGGAGGTAGCTACTCTAGCTCCGAGGCTCCAGGAAAATTCAGAGAAAAGGGATCCAGAGGAAAAGTAAGAGCCCCATCGTTATTTGACTTTTTTGATGGTTCGGACTTGGTTATTAAGAAGAATTAGAAGTATATCTGAAAACAGAAGGCGCCTAGAATTGCGGAATTATTATTGCCGAAAAATGGGGTAGGCTTGATACAAATTTTTACATTTTTATTTAATGAGAAATTTGAAGTTTCCAAAAATGATAAGCCCAGTTTTAGGTTTAAACCAGATGTAGTAAAGCCATAAAATATTTAGTAAACGAACGATTTGAAGTGTTTGTCCCTGTAAGCCAGAAAGCAAACAAGTAAATGGCTGATTTCTTTCTTTCTTTCGGTGGGGCTGCAGTACAACTGGGACAGAGGAGAGGCCTCCGCAGGACCCTGAGGCTGAGCTGGAGCCTGGCAGCTCTGCTCCCGATTCCCGTGAGAACCTAGAGCTGGTCATGAGCCTTAGCAGCAAATTCAAGAAAGTTTTGTCACCCTCAGACGCCAGCATCAAACCTACCAAAGAAGAAGTCTCTGAAAACATTTTGGCAAAACCCGAGGAGGCTTTGCCGAGTATCAACACCTTTTGTAACACCAACAAGGATACCCTCGGGGATGATCAGCTTCCTAAACCGTGTGACCCAGGGAATTTAACAAACGATCAGAGCAAACCGTCCCAGGACGTGAAAGGGACGTCACCAGAGCGTCCCCAGGACCCGGCGGCGGCAGAAGCAGCGGGGAGGCTGAGCCCGAGTCCCTTGTCAGGTACCGAGGGCGACTGTGAGCCTGAGCCCTTGGGTCACAGCAGTCGGGACAGAGGCACGGATGTGGAGGGTCCCCCTAAAAGCACAGGGGTGTCCGCAGATGGGGTGCCCTCTCCTCAATTAGACAGGATCGCAGAAAACCGTCCAGAGGGGGTCCCCGAGCAAAGTAACGGTGAGAGAGGTGAAGACAGTAAGGCCGGGCAGAAGGTCCAGGAGGCTTGTGCAGTGCAGGAAAAAATCAGCAGCCTCAGAAAGGTTGACCGAGGACATTACCGCAGCCGAAGAGACCGATCGTCCAGCGGCGAGCACGCGCGGGACAGCAGGAGCGGGACGGAGGAGCAGCCTCGCCGGAAGCGGCCCCACCATGAGTGGAAGCGGTGCCGGTCCGAGCGGCCCGAGCCCTGCGCCGCGGCCCCGCACGCCCCCTGCCCCGGATCCCTGGCCAGGTCAGGCCACCCGCGCTCCCGGAGCATGGGGGCCCCCGACCAGGAGTGGGGCCGCTACCACCATGCTGAGGCCGAGCACGCCTGGGCCCGGGAGAACTACCCGGATGGGATGCGCTGGGGGCGGTTCAGGTACCACCACACCAGGTACGCCTCGTACCCGGCCCGCGAGCCGTGGGAGTGGAGGCCCCTCCACGGCGAGCGAGAGTACGACCGAGCCGGGCCCTATAGCGGCCGGCCCCACAAGGACCACTACAGAGGCCGGAAGGGCCACGAGCCGGCGGCCAAAGAGAGGGACCGGCACCGCGTCAGCAGCCCCGGGGCAGGCCTGGCCCACACACCCCCTCCACACCCCGCTGACAAGTACGCCCACGACAAGGCTGCACTGGGGGCTGAAGACAGAGGCTGTGACCTCACCAGTCAGTTTCACGAACACAAAAACGTCAAGTCGCGAAAACGGAGGTACAGTAGTGTAGGGGATAAAGACAGCCGTGTAGAAAAGAGAGCCTGGAGAAGCTTTCAGAAGGATCCTTTAGAGGAGCCCAAAGCGAAGAAGCACAAAAAATCGAAGAAAAAGAAATCCAAGGACAAACACCGAGAGCGGAATTCCAGGTGAGGGCGTGTGTGCTTGCAGACCGGTGAAGCAGGGCTGTGTCCCGTGTATGTGACTCTGATTTGTACTTTTTATCTCTGTGGGTTTTGGACTTCCCTGTTTTTATAGATTCCTAAAACTTAGCTCTGTGTTAAGCTGGATCTTATTTCATGGTATTTAAAAATGCCTGAAAACCATCTTTTAAGATGATGTTGCCGTTTTCAGTTAGTGGTTTTTAACTTCTAGGTGTAAGTGTGCAGTGTTTGGTAGATAGATAAAACTTGGGATGTTTTGACTTCACAGTGATTGTTAATATATTTACTCACAGCTTTAGTTATATTTTCACATCTGCTGCTACCTCCTTCAACCTCAGTGACTACTGCTGCCTCGTGGCAGGAAATGGGAGGCCACCATCCTGTTGAATGTGCCTGTGACCCAAAGGGCTGAGACACATCATTTGTTGCATTTGCCTCTGTCTAGTTTTCTGTCTCCATTTCTCAGTTTGAAATCTCATTGGGACATTTGTATTTTTAAAAAGCTAAATTGGTCAGTAGTTTTCTTGAAAATGACTTCTCCACGATGAGAGGGTTGAGCACAAACACGGTTACTGCGCATTGCGTGCTACACATTGGCGTCTCGTAAAATCGAAACCCTGGGAAGAGGTTACCAGAAGGCATAGGTAGAGAGTGGTTACTTGAAGGAAAAGGAAATCAAACCTCCTTCCCTCCTATGTGCCTGAGACACCTGGCAAAAATACTTTTTCCTTCGGCCACTAGTTTCAGGAAAAATTGACGAAATCCTTCCCCTGGTGTTTTGGCCATAGCTCCCCTCCCAAACAAAGCTGCAGGGCATCGGTGGGGAAAGGTTGAAAATGGTGAACTTGTGACCCCAGACCTAAAAAATTATTACAGGGAAAACGACGCACTTTTCATTATAGGGTTTACCTGCGTTCACGTAACGAGTGTCAGCAGTAGTGAGTATAAATCAAAGACCAGTTCTCTTTGGGGTGGTTTGCTTTTCCGGTGGTTTGAGCTCTGGCTTTTTCTGCTGCAGGCGCCAGCAGCGCTCGGACCTTCTGCTAACGCGCGCTGACGCCGGCCTGCGCGGCAGACACAAGAGGAGGAAGAAGAAGAAGAGGAGGAGGAGGCGCTCAAGGTCCGAGAACTCGTCGCTCAGAGGCTCAGAGCCACCCTGGCCCGGGGCCGCCGGCCGCGAGGCTGTGGACCATTTCCAGGGAGCGGACGGCGCTTTGCCCCTCGCGGCCGGCCAGCCTCTGCACGGTGTGGGACCTTGCCCTGAGAAAACAAAACATTTCTGGATGGAAACGAGGGATGACAAGTGTCATCTGTCTAAGTGTGGCCAGGGTAAGAGGACATACTTGGAGCTGCGAATATAGAAACTCTTTTCTTTGGAAAGGGTGGTGAACACAGGGAAGGAGCCTCAAAGGGCATAGAAGGCGTAAGTCCCCTCTGAGCTCCCCGCCCTGTGTCCGCTGCCCGACGGCTGGCCCGAGGCTGCTGTGGCCGGTCTCGACGGTTAGCCGTGCTGCCGCGGCGCTCACTGGAGACCTGAGTTACGCGGAACTGGGAACCTCTGGAATTGATGGCTCTGAGTGTCTGATTGTGGACCAGAACTTCTGTTTTTAAGCCATTTTTGATAGAAATGTTGTGGTACATTCTTTCTCTCCAGAATCCTTAAGCCTTTGGCATTGTGAGTAGAACCTAGAACTCAGTTTGGTGACTGGCTCGCTGGACGTCACGCTTCAGGCCTGCGTTGGTGAAGCTCAGGCTCCTGACGGGGTTCCCTGGGTCACTGCAGGCCTCTGGGCTCTGGGATTCTTGTCTGCTTTGCACAGCTCTGCCTTCCCTTGTAACTTCCCAGCCTTTCCTACTCTGATTGCTCTGAAAGCAGAGCCCCCCTTGCTTCCTCATCTGTTCCGATGACCTTCGACCCTGGAAGGAGTGCTGAGCGTTTTTGAGGGGCCGGGGGCCCCCCTAGGGCAGGGCTGGACTGGCCGCCGCCTTTGCGCGGCCTGACGGTAAGGAAGGATCTGACGTTTTTAAATGGTTGGAAGAGTCAAAAGAAGACTATTTCATTTCACGTGAAAATCGTGTGAAATTGAGGTGTCAGTAGAGCCGCAAGGAGCCCAGCCCAGCCCGCCTGTCCGCCCGTCCACGGGGACAGGTTTGCTGGCCTCGCCCTGGACCCCTGAGGCGCACCCTCGCGACCCTGCCCGCTGTCCTAGATGCCCAGGGGTCACGGGGTTCTCGACTGCGTCCTGGACCCGGGTGAGGTATCGTTTGTTCAGGGGCAGCCCTGTCCCTTCCAGTGGCCCAGTCCCATGATGGTTGGTGGAGGAGGGACAGATGGCCGCACAGTGCGCTGGCATCTGGAGGAGCCGAGGGCAGAAGTGGGGGGTGTTCCTGAGTGGCGGGGGGAATGCTGGGGCGCACGGAGTGGGTGAGGAGTCGTAGGGACGGCAGGAAAGGGAAGCTACCGGTGGGTTTGCTCTGTGTGTTTGTTAAGAGGGGAATTATTTGCATTTCCGCATTGGTTTCCCATGAACAGTTCAGCGATTCAGAGAAGGCGCTTGGTGGGGATGAGTCCCTTCTGATGTCTGCTTGGTGCTTGGGGCGAAGTGGAGACAGGCTGTTCGTGTGCGTTCTGCGCAGATGCGCAGGGATTCTACGTTTTTGCCAGAATCCCCTTCCGGCTGCAGGTCTCTGGTGAGGACCACAGCTGGAGGCCGCCAGTGCACCCACAGAGCTGGCTCGGGGGACAGTAGGTGGCGTGCAAAGCCCAGTAGTGGGCATGTGGTGGCCCAGACCGCCTCTCCAGAGGTTGCAGGAGGGGGCGTGGCCCCTTTCCTGTCCTCGATCTGATGGCGCCCAGTGACTGGTGTGTTCCTGGCTTGGGCGCCCGTCCCGTCCTGACCTCCTGGGAAGGGCCACCTGCTCGGGCCCAGGTCAGGCATCGCTGTTGGCTGGTGGAGGCCGGACCTCTTGGCCTGCGTGTGTCTGTCCTGGTGCCTTGACCACTGACCTCTCTTCCAGACTCCTGTTCTCTGGCGCCATCAAGCTCTCGATTTCTTTGGCCTAAGATCTGTTCTCACCTAATGTTGAAATGCTGATGAGTTTACTGGGGTCAGAGTGGACTACTGCTGAGGGGACGTGGTCCTCAGTTATCACCTCAACTCTTGTTTTCAGTGAAACACTTGGAGACACAGCTTGTGTAGGACCGATTTCAGGCAACAGACATTAAGCTACTGAGGACTGCTTCTGAGTGTAATCACGTAACGCACACAGAGCATAGGCACTAAAATTTTTGCAAAACCATCATTAAAATGTTTCCTAACCTTTGCTTTCTAGGTGATTGAAAACGTGGCTTCAAGACAAAAAATTCACTGGTTACGGTAAGCTCTTTTCGTCTCTGTATGTGCTTCCTGTTTGTTTGTAGAGCCGCTGAGGGGCCCTGAGGAGGGAGCTTTGGGACTCGGCTTCGGGGGTAGCAGGTGGGGAGTCAGTCCTTGGTGGGGGGGTGGATTTGGGCCCCTTAAGTCAGAGAGTCGCTCTGCTCCCTCGCTCCCTCCCTCGTTGTAGGAAAGTGAGGCCAGGTCAGAAGCTTCAGAATCAAGTCATTTGATAAACATTTGAAAGATGGAGAAGCCATGTCCTCTCGCAGCCCCACCTGAGGGGCCGAGAGGGGGGAGCCCTTCCCGTGCCCGCCGCCTGCCCCGCGCACCGAAAGGGCTCGGGCTTGGTTTGATCGGAATGGGTTTTGGGTGCTTTTTTTTTTTTTTTACAGCAAATCAAAACCTGGAGTGTCATTTCCTCCTGGCCTCGTTACTCAGTGGCCCTGGGAGGTGGGGTTGGTGTCCTGGGCGCGCTGCACCTGCAGGGTTGCTCTCCGGAGGGAATTTTGTCCAAACGTGTAACTTCTGGTAGTCGGCAAGGGGGGGTTTAAGTGAACTGTCTGCAAGAGATTAACCTGCAGTTGATTAACACGCTTTACAGCGTGCCCTCAGTGGGAAGACCGGAGCCGCATTAGGGAATCGGCCTCTTCCTACCTAGAGCAAGGGAATCGCCGGGTTGCGGCGGGACCGCGCCCAGCAGAGGGCGCCCTCCCCGCAGGCCTCCGCGCCACCGCCGGCTCCTTCACCGCCCGCGGGGAGGCAGGCGGGCTCCCCGCAGAGACCTGGGGGCGCCTGCTAAGGGGAGGGCGTGAATGAAGAAGAGAAGCCCCGCCCGGGGCTCACGGGGCGCTGGGCTCCCACTTCCTGCCTCTGGACCAACTAACGCCCGCTGCCTCTTGTCTTTCAGATTCAACGTGTTCAACCGAAGCCATCCCCAACCCACATTAAATTACAAATAGAGAAAATAACTTGAAATCTGCGTGGTGCTTCTTTAGTGTAAATAGTGTATAGATTTTACCATGGAGGACTTTTTTTTTTTAGTTTTTACCTTTTCTTAATTACCCTTATTCCAAATGGGTGAACACTTTCTACAACTGCTGACCATTGTAAAATACTGTGTATATAAATCACATTGAAAATACCGCCCTGGACTAGAACATCTCAGATGCTGCTTAATCACAGACTCAGGTTGATTACTCGCATTCCATGTAATGCTCCAAGTTAGACATCCGGTGCGAGACCAGCCGGAAACCATGGAATTATTAAAGTACAAACTGACAGTGTGTATATTTAATTTAAAAACTTATTTAAAGATTCACAAGCTCTCAACTAGACTTTGGAGAGCAGTCTGTTTTCTGTAATGTCTGATACTAGAAACTAATTTGCTTCACATTTTAGTTGTATTCAAGATTTGAAGATTTTATAGACAAGTTCTGTTTTTGAACTTTGTGGAACTATTCCAATCAATTTACCAGTTATGATGAGTATTTACATTATGAATGTATAATCTGAACATTATTTGTAAGGCCTACAGTATGTTTTTATTACATAACACTTTTTTATACAGTGTCTCTTGTCTTGACTATGATATTGGAGTCTGAGTTGTCAGCTTGGTCCCTTAAAGTTTCTAGTTACAGACAAAAATCATACTGTGATTTTATTTTTAATATGGATATGCTATCAAACTGTGATACACTTATAATTCACTGGTCCTGCATCAGGAGTTGGAGTGGGGAAAACTGTATTTAATACAGTTTGTATCTGAATAATCTGTATGGTTTATACAGTTTGTGTTGTTCAGAGACGTCTAAAGTTTGATCTTTGTTTTTTTAAAGATTAAAAAAGCACTTGCCCCACTGTAAATATACAGCATGTAAAATTTATATAGTATATAAATGGCAGCAAATTAAACCTTTTGTGTCATTTTTTTTTTTACTGCTGTTTTCCCCATTTGCTTACAGACACTTCTCATGGACTTCTTTCTCTTCGCATTCACCTTCCCAAAACCTCTAAAGCTCAAGCCACGGGCTCTCAGTCCGAGACTGAGAGGTGCAGACCAGACCCCAGGTGGGTGAGGGAGAGTCAGGTGTGGGCTGCTGGACCCGACAGTCTCCCTACTTTAAAGAACCCAGTCACAGGCAATCTTGTTTTAACAGTGCGTTTTTATTTAACCAACACAGTATTTCCAATTTGACAGCCATACACTCTCCAACTTCACCATCCACTTTACAACAAAATATCAATAGATATAGGGTATTTCTTCATGCAAGTTGGAGTATATACACTGAATAACACCCCAGAAGTCATATTATATATGTACATTATTTACATATTAACTCTATTTACTGTAAATAGAAATGTTTTCTAAGAAAAAAATAAAACAAGAAATCACAATGTGTGGTTTCTGGTCTACAACAGACCTAACTTCTCAGCAAAGCACATCTATGTAGATATATGCATTTTAACTTGAAAAATATGCATTGCTTTATATGCAGCATTAAATGCTGCTTCATCTATAAATAGCTCCTATTTGGACTCAATCTGGTACCACATTAAACTGCTCAAAACTGTTCCGTGATCCTGAAGACACTTGCTTGTCTGGGTCCAGGGTGGGCCAATTAAACCCCACGTTAATGGGGGCTGGTGGGCCCGTGTAAGCCGCCGTCTCCCGCCCAGCGACCCCCTTTCCCTGCCTCCTGCCCTCCGTCTCTGGAGGAGAGCTCCGGCCAGAGTTGGGACTGACAGTCACGCACTGAGCGCAAGACAGCGGCGTGGGGAGGGGGATGAACGGGGGACCACGCTGAGGTCCAGGCAGCCGGGCCCACACCCCACAGCCCCGTCAGGTTAACACTGCCACACAAAACCTGGAGTTACACGATTTCACGTAACACTCCCGAGGGCAAGTGACACAGATTCTGAGCACCATGGCCTTCTGCATCGTTCGGGGCAAATAGGCATCAGGCGAGGCTCCTTCACAGGTGGCCAGAGGAACAGATTTCTTCCAGGTGTTTCCTCACGCTCACTTCTCCCAGCCCCACCCTGAGGCACACCCGAAAGACAGAAAGCCCTGTATCCCCAGGGTCCTACCTGGGTCAGACAAAGGAGAGACCGGTTATTCCACACAAAATCCTGATGGAGCCCGCGCCCCAAGCAGCCCGGGTACAGGGCCAGCCCGAGGGGAGGGTGCTGCCAGGTCGTCGTCAGCAGTGTTTGGTCTGGTGGTCTGGGCAGCGTCCCTTTTCACGGAAGACTGGGGCCAGAGTTGCATATATGCCAGTCACACGTTTCCAGAATGCTGACTTGGCTTTCTCAAAACTAGAGGTTCGAATCTGAGGTATCAGTACAGTAGCAAAGCCTAAAAGCTTGGGAATGAACCAAAAAAATCAGTTGGATGCATGTTGGAGAGTCCTGGGTGCAGACCCTTTTGCAGTCTGGTGTGACTCAGCGCTACAAGGTCAGCTGCACCGAGGCCAAAGGCCCACAGCCGCTCAGTCTCAGCATGAAGGCAGCTCCCAGGAACGGTTCCTTCTGCTCCTTACATCTCCACGTAAGTGCGTACAGCGTGCGGTTGTCATTCTCGGACTCTGCTCTTGCACGGGAGAGGTGACGACCTCTCAAGTGTGCAAACGGAGAAAGTACTTTCGCGGCTGGGGCAGGGGAAGGAGGTCCTGCAGGGGAGGGACCCTCCACCGGAACGGCCCCGGTGGGCAAGGGGGTCCTATGTAGTACATGCGGGGGTCCTGGCGGCGGAAATAAAGCTCCCAATAAAAAGGCATCTGTCACCAGCCCCAAATGTCCCAGCACCCAGCGCCTCTCGGCCGGCCCACCTGTGCACCCTTGGGCCAGTTCTGCGACGTGCTGGGGCCCAGCTCCAGCCTGCCCTCAGCGCACGACTGAGCACCTCTCTCTCATTCAGCCACCAGCAACCTGACAACCTCCTGGTCGGCGATCTTCAGCAGTCCCACCACCAGTGCACATTTGGGGTTTTACACTATTTACAGAAAAGCCTAAGCGCTCCACTTCTTGATCCCCACCGCCCCCGCCTGCTCTTTTCCCTCCCCATAACGGAAGAGCAAATCTCTGAAAACATGGAATGAGGTTATCCCTATCTCCTTATATGTCTACTCATCACGTTAAGAAATCTGGTCAAATTATTCTAAGCATTCGTTTTGCCAACAAGTAGTGAAGACAGTGGTCACAGCTGGTCTGAACCACGTGTTCACTTGGACCACAGGACACTGCTGTTTGTGGGCGTCAGAAACGGTGAAACATGAGCAGTTTCATGTGGTCCAACATATACGCTTGTCTATCCTGGGATTCAGAAGTTACAGGACACGTGGTCCAACATATACGCTGTCTATCCTGGGATTCAGAAGTTACAGGACAAATGCCCCAAACCGAAATTTATATTTTAACAATTTGCCTCTTTAGAAGTATCTGTGGGACCACAAAGTCTGAGCTGAACGGGTCTCAGAGGACTGGACTCCGCCCTGCCCCGCCCAGTGCTGGTCGTCAAGGACACGTGCGCCTCCCTCCACCAGGAGCTCCCCTGGGCGCCCCCCACGGGCGGGGCGCCCCCCCAGCCCCCCGGGGGCTGCATACGTGTACACATGTAATTGTTCTCAGTGCACAGTATATTCTTGTGTCCAGAAGTTAAATTTATAGCTGCCATTCTAAAAATACTACTGTTAGAAAGTATCTTTCATTATAATTTGAGAATATAAAAAGGCATATAAAAGCTATAATCCTATATATCTGAGAAAAAAAACAATAAAAAACTGGTAGCTTTTCCTTTCCTGTTAGGATACAAAACAGCGGCTTCCAGAACGGCGAGCACCGCCACAAAGGAGCACGTGTGACCCCGCGTCTGCCACGCGGATTTTCACGGCTGAACCACCAGGCGCAGCTGCTGGACGAGACTTCGAGAAGGATGCGCTCGGCGCCGGGAGGGCAGCGGGAAGGGACGACGTGAGGCCCCTCGAGACCAGCGGGGGCCGCCGTCCCTGAGGAGCCAGGCCGGGGGTCCAGGGTGTCGCGGGGAGGCCCCCAGTCACTCTTTGCTGCGGGGTTTGAGTTTACTTTTACCTGCTGCTCAGGCCAGGAAAGCTCTATTTCTTATTGGCAATCCTCCTTTTCCTCGTGGCCAACATGTCATAGAAAGGATCCCTGCTGATACTCGCCCTGGGGGAGAAATGAGAAAGAAACTCGGTTAGGCTAGGAGGGCCGGTCCTCCC